AGTCAGCAAACATTATCCATTGGGTTGGATGCTCAGCAGTGCTTTCAACAGGTCCTCACTTGTCCAAAGTTTTGTTGCCACCAGTATTTCCCTGCTATAGGCTAGGAACTTGGGCACAAACAGCCAAAATGCTGATTAACGCACAATCAAGTTGCATAATGCTTAGCCAAGCAAGATCCATTGGCTGCCTGGGACTTTGACAACCTCTCATAATCACCCACATCAGCCCATGACTTGTTGGCACTCGTGGCCACATCAAGAAGGCATTGGTCAACACAGCAGACCATGGTACCAATTTAACACTTCACTACTGCCAGCTGGAACTGTGAAAGGCAACACGGCAACCAACTTTCTACTTGGGTGGTGTTTCTTGAGCAAAGCCCTTCTGCAGGGTGCACTTCTGCAGTGGTGTTCACTCATCCATGGTTGCCATAAATGCTACACAGGCTGCTTGCTTATGGAAAAACAAGTTGTCATCCTTCTGCAGGATTCATTCTTTGTGTAAAAACGCAAACTTGAATATCAATATTTCTTTTTGGAAAACAACTTTTGAGTATCAATATTTTTGTCTAAAATATTGATATTTTGAAGAATTCTAACATAGCTATAACAAGAGCTAAAATATCAATATTCACGGCCAATATCAATACCCAAAACCCTGGATCAGAAAAAGTTGATCCCGGATCCCATGGGTACTCCATTGAGTTGGCTTGCGTTGTCAAGTACAATCACTTTACCGCTTGTGATAGCGGGGATACACGCACACAGAGCAAACTTCGGCGCAGCTAGAGTATGGGGTAACGTCGAGGAAAAACCCTGAATAGCCACCTAACAAGCCTTCGCAAAAAGAGAGAGAGAGAGAAGACAAAAGAATAGCGAAAAGAAAGAGATAGAAGAGACCTGAGCTGCAGCTACAAGCCAACAATCCTCTAAGAAGAGAAGAAGAAGCAGAGAAGAGAAACGCGCGTGGAACGAGAGCAAATTGACCGCAAAAACCTGGGTGTCTTCCGGGCGGTGGTGCCGAATGAACGACAAATTAGTTATGTTACCTTTCTAATTGGATTCAGGAGCTAGGGGCAACTTTCCCCATAAGAACCTATGAGTTTTATTGAGTTTGAGGGCCAGGTAACAATCTTAACTTCCAGGCTAAAGAGATTGGTTTGACAATTGTTTCTGCGCCAGAGGTGGCGCATGTTGTTTATGAGGTTGGCCCCTGGTATCTTAATTAAACTATACTACAGGGTTGCTGATTTCCAGACCACAGCCAAAGACAATCAACCTCAGGCTGGATCCCTGGTGCCTTTAGGTTGTGGCGGGGGTAGGTGGGCTGTGGTTCTTGAAATTTCTGCTGCTGGTTTCTGGTGTCCACCGTAACTAAGTAAATCCGAAGGGCCAGGCTCTAAACTAGGGAACTTTATTTGGCAGTTCTGTCGCACCCCCCCAGGCTCATGTTGTCAACAGATCTTTGCAGAGGTAGGCCCAGAGTACTTTTTTTCCCTTTAAAGGGTGCCTAGGCAACCTGTTGATAACGCAAGGGTATATTAATTGAGATCCAGCGAGATCCACTGAACGTTCTGTCTGGAACTGTGTCTGGTGAAATTTGACATAAAGAAGCCGATTCGGCGCAACCTGAGTTACACCTCACAAGCCTCTCGAAAAAAGGAAAAAAGCAGAGTCTGGAAGGAGAGAAAAGACGGCAAAAAACTGGGCGTCTTCCGATCAGTAGCGCCGAACGAACAACGAATAAATTTAGACCCTGTGAGATCCACTGAAAGTTCCATCTGGAACTGTGTCGTTCGACAAAGAAGCCGAGGTCGGCGCAACCTGAGTTGCACCTAACAAGCCTCTAAGAAGAGAGAAGAAACAGAGAAGAGAAACACATCTGGAAGGAGAGAAAATTGTCTGCAAAAAGCTGGGCGTCTTCCGAGCAGTGCCGAATGAACAACAAATAAATTTAGATCCACTGAGACCCACTGAAAGTTCCATTCTGAAATGTGTCGTTCGACAAAAAAGCCGAGGTCGGCGCAACCGGAGTTGCACCTAACAAGCCTCTAAGAAGAGAGAAGAACAGAGAAGAGAAATACATGCGGAAGGAAAAAATTGACTACCAAAAAACTGGGCGTCTTCTGGGCAGTCGTGCCGAATGAACAAATAAATTTAGATCCAGCAGCGAGATCCACTGAAAGTTCCATCTGGAACTGTGTCGTTCGACGCAAAGAAGCCGAGTTCGGCGCAACCTGAGTTACACCTAACAAGCCTCTAAGAAGAGACAAGAAACAGAAAAGAGAAACACATCGAGAGAAAATTGACTGCAAAAAACTGGGTGTCTTCCGGGCAGTAGCGCCGATTGAACGGCAATAAATTGAGATCCAGTGAGAACCACTGCAAGTGCCATCTGGAACTGTGTCCTTTGACGCAAAGAAGCCGAGTTCGGCGCATGAGTTACACCTAACAAGCCTCTAAGAAGAGATAAGAAACAGAGAAGAGAAACACATCGAGGGAAAATTCACTGCAAAAAACTGGGTGTCTTCCGGGCGGTGGTGCCAAATGAACGGCAAGTTAATTGAGATCCAGCGAGATCCACTGAAAGTTCCATCTGGATGTGTGTCTTTCGACACAGAGAAGCCGATTCCGGCACTGCCTGAGTTACACCTAACAAGCCTCTTCGGAAGAGAGGTCAGTGTCCTCGTGCGAGAGTCTGCCCTCGGGCCCGCAGGGTGTGCCGCGGGCCTGCGCAGGTTCGCTGTGGGCCGGCGCGCGTTTATACCAATTCTGCTTGTTCTATACTACTGTATCTCATACATATATATGTGTGTGTTTGCGTGCATATGTATTTACAAATGTGTACACACGTACTTTGCACTTTTGTCTATATATTTTTGACAAGTTTTTCAATCTTTTGAAATTTACCGATGCATGATGTATGTTTTACACGTCAACACCGCATGGGGCGCAGCTAGGGAGTAACCGCGCTATCCCCGAGAGCGTTCGTAAAGGGCTTTTCTTAAATAGGCAAATTCAAGCACTACACACGGTTCACGCTTGACATACACCGGTGTATTAACGCGAGAACATCGCCGTGAGATTAATTAACAGAAGAGTTTGGGCGCGGCAGTATCAAGACAAGAGTCGGAACAGAAATGAACATGGACACGCGTGTTGATCAAGCCTTGTCTTCAGCTCTTGTAGGCCCTTTGCAGCCAGAGGTATAAGCTAAGAGTGCAGCAAACAACTGTGATCCTCGCGAGTAGTCTAAATATAACATTTTCGTAGAATGTCCATATAATATATATGTGTTTTTTTAGATAACATATATTTTAATGTAAAAACATACTGTGTGTGTGTATGTTTTTTTGTATATATATATATACGTGTGTGATATATCTGTGTTGATATATGTAATGTATACGTGCGTATGTGTATGTACTTGTTTTTTATTTCTAGAATGTTTTGCAAGAGGCATCAACGTCTTTCAATATTTTTACAAGTACATATGTTACATAAGTGTGTGTGTATATATATATTTATTGATTTGCTTATTTCACGAACGTCAACACCGCTAACCATGGCAGTCACCATGCTTTCCCCGAAACCATTCGCGAAGGGTTTTCTTCACGGCCGATTCAATCATGAGATGCCTCTTTACACACCGTCTCTTGACGCTAGCTAGACATAAGCCGGTGTATCAACACGAGAACATCACCGCGAGAGTAATTAACGTAATAGATTTTGAAAGCGAGAATATTAGCGCATAAGCGTATGAAGGTAAAAGGAAATAAGGAAATACTTAACAGTGAAAAGTCTCAACGCGAGAGTGTTGAGATAAGGGCACCAACAAAAGAGTAGAACCATCAACATAAAGAGACAAGAGTTTGAGCATAAGAGAATGAACACGAGAGTAGCAAGACAAGTGCACTAACACGAGAGTATCAACACCAGCAGAATTACATAAGTGTGCGCGCACTGTGTCTAAATGTATGCTTGTGTAGGCACATGTGTCTAGATACACATGTATGGGTATACTTGTACGAAGCACTTGTACATGTGTGCACAGACGCTTGATAACTCGGGCCACACTGGTTTGCCTGCGGTTTTCAATTTGTCTGAAAGGCGCCCCCTCAAATGATATATTCTTGGAGCCCGCGGGCCCGCACCGAGCCCGCGCACGCGCCGAGCCCGTGGGCCCGCGCCGAGCCCGCGCCCAGGCCGCGCACAGCCCGCAGCCAGCCCGCGAGCCCGCGCGAAGTGTCGGGCCCGCGGGCCTGCGCAAGGCGCAAGTTGACCCTCACACGGGGACCACTCCCAGAAGAGAGATAGAACAGAGAAGAGAAACGCATCTGGAAGCGGAGAAAAATGATTGCAAAAAACCTGAGTTGCGGCCTAACAAGTCTCTAGGAAGAGAAAAACAGAGAAGAGAAACGCATCTGGAAGGAGTTAAAATTGACTGCAAAAACCTGGGTGCATTCGGATTATAATTGGAAAATGAAGTATTCTGTGTGACTGCGTCGTAAGGACATTCAGTGATATTCTTTCCTATGTAGGAGTAAAGACTCGGTAACAGCGCCGCTGCGGGGATCACACAGCTTACCACATGCAGTGGGAAGAAGCTGCGACACACACTTCAGAAAAGAGCTCCCAAGAGCAGAAATTCAGAGTTTCGCGGTGTGCATTAACCCTTTACGATACTGCAGCAGACAACCTTGCAAAATCACCTATTGAAATGGCCCTGTGAGGAACGGCAAGGCGACGAGTCCGCAACGATATTGTTTAAATCGTTGAGAGAAAAAACAAAAGCTAGCAGGTACATGGAAGTGATCAGTTTCCCCTTCCTAGGACATTTGCAAAGAGCTTTGTTGTGCAGAGCTTTGCAAGTCCTCTCTGCCCCCTGCGGAGCTATGCGCAGGGCTGAATGAAGTTAGCAAAAGCAAAAGCAAAATAATGTCCCTAGAGACGGGTGTTAACACACACCAAGGTGTCAGAAGCTTGAGATTTTCACCAAGGACTTGGGATGCATTGAACAAGGCCAACCAAGGTGGAATTGCAATTTTTGGAGCCCAGGTAGTCGCAGCGGCTGGCTACCGTGGGTGCTTCCTTGGGACTTTCACTATTCTTTTCATTCGAAGCTTGACCTGGCATTGAAAGTGACGAGGTCGTAGACATAGCTTGCAGTGTTGTAAAGCAACAGTGCAGCAAGTTGTAGTAATTTGTGTTCATTGAACAGTTTAGTCTAGACGCAAACAGCTTACTGCACTGTGATTATGATTGCAACTTCGCATCTCCAAGTCGAGGAATGCTCATTTATTTGGTTTTTACGTTGAGGAAAGGTACTGTTTACAGAGGCGGGCTACAAACTCTTCAACTGGAAAACTACTTTGAACATCTTGGAACCATTCCTTGCAGGATTTGAACATTGTTGAGCAGTCTTATTTAAAATATTGATATTGAGGGTGTTCCCGCTCATAACGCTACTGTCCACAAGTTGGTTCGAACAGGCATGCAGCGTGGGATTGCACAACATGTATGCAAAAACATCATTGAACAGATACCTGCTATTCTGCTGGAATCATCCTTTCTTGTTCATCTCTTCCTTCTTTTTCTACTGGCAATTCTTAGCAGTTCTGCGCATTTCTTCAAGGTTGGAGGCGTGAGTTCTCATGAATTCTCTCAGTTTTTTTTGAGTTGATGGCTCTGCTGTGGTTGACACCTTGGTCCCTCATAATTCCGTTTCTGCATGGGTGTGACATGTCCTGTTGGAGCACCGGCGTACAATTTTTTGTTTTTAAGCAAAACGACGAGGCAATATCATACAATAGTCCCTGCAAGTATGCACAGAAGTGTCATAAACAAGACAGTCAAACGGTACAGGTGCAGCTCTGGACTGCTGTGGACTGCAAAATTTCAAGCCATCAGATGTTAGGGTTCCGTTTGTCAGTGGTAGGTGGACATCTTCGTGATTTAGCTCAAGCCAAAGTGCAGCTGGAACAACCTGAGGAGCCACTGGCACGGCTACTTGGCGTCCTTTGTTTCATGTCGGGAAGGTAGCCAGGCACTTGGAGTTAGGAGCGGTGGGAGGCATTATGAGGTGAGATCAGAGGGGCCGAAGAGGGTCGAAGAGGGTTCAACTGGGTTCATCAAAACTTCTCAGTGAGGCCATTGCTAATTGGAGGCCATTGCTATTAGGTTGGAGGCAAAAACACACTTTTCAGTGAGGCTCACCTTTGAGGGGGGAAACCTCCGTAGTCCTCACGCACTGCATCGCACTGTGCCTCAGGTCGCCAACCAATTACGACTGTGCCTTGCTTGCCAACAGATTATAGCAGCTATAGCATCTGGCTTGGTGTGCAGAGCGCTTTAGATGCTTTAGATCAACCGCAGAGTAGAGCAAGTTTGGTTGTATAGTTTACTGCTGTTGCCTTGCAAGGCGTAGAGAACATAAAAGGGTTCGACGGAGATCAGGAGACACTGGACGTGGGCATGTAGGTGCGTCAGTGTGAGTTTTGTTGCCACTACGTTTGTTTGTGAGGGGTGCGCGAAGGTACAGTAATTTGTGACCACTTATCATTAGATATCATTAGATACCATTAGTAGTGTTCAGAGATTTGGTTGAGGAGTCGCAGATGTTCCAGCCAGCAGAAGCTCTTGCGTTGGCGGCACAAAAGCATACACGGAGAGAACAGGCATCCTCCCAGAAAACTTTTGCAGAGACATCTGACATTGCATCGCAATACGCTGGATGCTATGCAGTTACATACGCAGGGGCAGCTGCTCGAGGTTTCTCCAGCCACTTGGCATGTGAAGCATTGGAATCGAGGACAACTCGGTAGCTCAATGTGTCAATATTGGTAGCACTTTCAGAGAGCAGCTTCGCCAACAGAGAGAGAGAGTAGGATTGAATGCATTTTGCGTCGGGTAAATCAAGGCACATCTTTTGTCAGATGCATTGGAAGAAAGGCTGGGCGGCTGGACTGGACCTTCACTGAATCAGGGATAGTAAATTACTCGAGGGCGCATGTTTCAGATCTTGTTCTTCTTTCTAGACTTTCTAGACACTTCAATTAAGTACACAAGTCCCCTTTCTCCTGCACTCTTAGGCTGGGATCCTCCTCCTTCTCATTTTCCCTCCTCTTGCCTCTGCCCCACGACATAACCTAAGTCACTTCCTCGGTCACTCCCTTGTCTTGCTTGCTTGGTCACTCGCATTCACTTGCTAACTCCGTCACTGACCCGCCCGCTGGCTGAGTTCACGTCACTCTGTCAGTCACTGCTTGCTTGTCCAGTGCAGCTTCATAGGCCAAACCGATGCGAGCTGGTTTTGGAACAGGGTGACCATTCAAGCCCGTTCAATATAACAGGACTTCTCAAACAGTGCACCGCATGGTAGTCACAACATGGCCAGAGTTTTTTTGCTGTTTCTTTTGACCAAAGTGGCATCAATGTAGAAAGGGAGCTGTTTGACACGTAATCGTTGCATATGGTCTCCCGCCCCCGGGATTAAAGAGTAACACACCTGTATATTCTTATTCCTTAGTGTTTCGGCTTTAGCGCATGTCCTGCCGTGGGTGCCATAGCCGCTTGGAGCTTCCCACTGGTACGTCGGGGCTTTGCGATCCCTGTTATCTCGCGAATAAGGTCCAGACAGTGGTTCGCAACAGATGTCCTACATCCAAGGCGCGCGAGCTCACTTCGTACCTGGCGAAAGTGTTGACGACCCTTAGCTAATTTCGTTATTTCTCTTCTGTGGGCCTTCAGAGTTTTCAAAACATCAAATGTGATGTGATCTCAGGCGCAAAGGGATATAAGGATGAAAAATGGTGAGGGTGGATGTTTTCTCTCGGTCATGGCTGGTTGCTGACTGGGGAAATGTTCATTGCATGTTTTGAAAGGTTTGGATGCTGTTTCTCCAAATCTGTCCTGGTGGACCGTTGTTTGTTGCAAGAAGAGTTTAACTATGGGTGTGCTGCGCCAGAGAGCTTAGAGGGTGCAGATTTGCAACGTGCAGATTTTAGTTTGTGCCTGACAACTGTGCTTCCAAGTTTTCTGACGTGACACTTGCGCTTGTGCAAACAAACGAAAAAAATTACTTGGGATCGGTAAGTTCAGTAGGGCGTGGTATGCAAGGCGTGTGGCATGTTTTCTTGTTTTATGCTCTTTAGCGGGTTGTTGCGCGGTAGCTTCCTTGACAGATTTAATTTTTAAGTTTGGAACTGTTTGCAATGGCAATGTCAATGTGTTGTCCGCTCATGTGCACGTGTGCGTCCGACAAAAGTTGCAAGCAATGAATGCGCAGCTCTACTTTCCAATATCTGGAAGTCCATGTGCGGTTTGCAATCCTTCCTTCCTGCTGGCAGCGGATTTGACCTGACGACTCTGGTTTTTGCCGGGCTCTTTGCAATGCACAAAACAGAGAGGGACAAACATGTGAAACCACACAGTTCGCCAGGACAAATTTGAGACTCCCGCGTATGTTTCTGAACGTCCTGAGCGGCGCTTGTTCCTTTTTTCGGCTGCGCTTTCTAGTGTGCTTTCTACAACTTCTACTTTTGAATCTGGGATTTGCGCACGCTACCGTACTGTAGATTTGTGCTCGGCCAACCTGATCAAAAGCAATGCCCCAAAACCAAATGGCAATTTCGTGAGCACTGTAAACTCAGACCCGCGCAAAGCAGCCCACACCCCGCGCACCGTCAGAGATCAGTCTTGTTTATCGGGTTTTCGTGTTGCATTTTGAGTTTTGGTTTTCACGTTTCACATCACTGTGCAGAGTACACGGACATAGATGAGAAACAAACACACACACAATAGACTAGACAGACTGGGGAGAAGCAGAAGATGAGAGATGAGTATCGAAGATGCATGCGAAATTGACATGTTCACTTTCGTTTCTACAAAAGAATGTCAAAGCATCAACGCACACGTTGCTGTGAACCACTCTGACTCCATCCAGCTGTCGATCTTTTTTCACTTGTGGATTCAGACAATTCAGATTCGATTTACTCTGGACATATTCAGAACCAGCATGCCATGTCCATGTCAGATGACAGATGATCACAGGTACTAGCTACTAGCAAATTTCACTCACTGTCACATGCTAAACGCTAACGACTTGTTTCTTCATTTCCATGTCACATGAAACTCATGGCCATTGTCGTGGCATGGTTGGCCACGTTCAGTGATGGCAAAAGAAAAGCTGCACACCACCGTGTGCAGCATCGGTGGGTGAACAGCGAAGCTGCGAGTCACCCAGTGGTTCGAGCACATTTGGCACAATATGAAGCTCAGCAAGATTTTGCACCAGGTTTCGCTTGCAATCATTTGATCCAGGGACACGAGGTTGTTGGGCTTGTGGCGTTGGAACCCATAGCGCAGCACCACTCATTGTTGGACTTGCGTGAGCAGTCCCAAGCTCAGTTTGACTTTTGGAGCCTCTTTTCCTCTACGCCTTTGGATGGTTGTTTGTATCATTTGAACATTGTGAGATGCACACAGTCTGAGCATAGACTGTCTTTAGCAGAGACGAGCACAGGAAGAACCACGTTTTTTTCCATTTAAACAGCACTTGGGCACAGCGCTGCTTCACGACGGAAGTCCTTGGGGTCAGCCAGCAGTGCTTGACTGAATGGAGAAGGCTTGCAGGTGGTAAAGTTCCAACTTTGACTGTAAGAGTCCCAAAAGCAATTGCTTTCCTCGTTTTGACTTGCCAGTGGAGAAAAATTGCAGTGCCAGAATTACTCGACCTCGTCAACATTTCTGCAGGTTGGAGTGTCCCGAGCATTTTGAGAGAAGATGGGCTTGCTGGCAACTGCCTCAGAACTTTGAGGGATAGTTTCGATTCTTTGCCAGGCAGTAGGACATCTCAAAAGTGCGACAGTGCCAATCCAGATATCTTCAACATTGCCACTGAACCTGGTAAGAAAAGAATGCTGCAACTACTCAGGGATGTTGCAGGCTGTCTTACACAAGGCCGTCCGCTCAACGATGAGAGGCGTTGTGAATTGGAGCTAGAACTCTTGTCTGGAGCCCAGGCTCTTCAAGCTTCGATTGCGAACCATTGCAGGTTCCGATACCAAGGCAGTTGGACCCTGAAAGCTCGGAAGTATCCGGCCATCAAACTGATAGATTTCTTCTGGGTGTCAGGTGCTTTGTTATGTGATGCAGATCTGCGAGAGACGCTCAAACACGCTTGCTCCACGCTTTTGCCTCCTGATTTGGCCAAAGAGGCGGTGTTGTTTGTAGACGGAAAGTTGGAGGCAGGGCAGTGCAACACGAAGGTGCCAAGCAGTGCAACTCTATGCAGACTCCGAGCAAGGCTGGATGTGTGCTATACACTTTTGATGAGACAGTGGCTCATGCAGAACCTTCAGATGTCTGGTGGGTGTGGTGTCAAAGTGTTCATTCAAACGGATGCGACCTGGCAGTCCAAGAAAGAGTATCAAATCACGGTGATGAATTTTCTTCTGGGGGAATTGGCTTTACCAGTGCACAAGGACTCAGGCCGTTTCTTATGGTAACTTCAGATGTGACTTGGTCCTTTGCAGTTTCTAAAGAGGCATGGAGGCTGTCAGAGTTTCTAGAAGTTCTAGACAAGCTCAAAGGTGCTTTGTGTTCAGCTTTATGTGCGTAGAGCTTCTCATGGTTCTCACACTGTTTTAGCGAATCATGAACGGTTTGAAATGCAATCTGCCGAGCGAGCGAGTGGTTGTTCTTTCCTTTTTTTGTTGGTGAACTTTGCAGTGCAGCAGACCATCTTTTCAGAATACTGCATCGGTGCTCAAAGGTTTGAATGTGCAAAGATTCAGAGTGCGCTTACTGCAGGTTCGTGCTTTCAGTGTAGGTTTGTTGCTCATTCACCATAGTTGGGCCACCGGGCCAGTGATGAGTGCCTTCGTGAATCTCCCGTTCTCAGGTCCCAGTACCAAGAGAGGCCAAGAGGACACAGAACCCACGCCGGTCAAAGTTTACTTCCCCAAGCGTGTATTAGTAATTTAGTAAAAGAATGCATAGGTTGATTCGAGGTTTGATCTTCACCATGCAGCGTGCTTGTTGACAAGGTTGCTGCCAAAAAAGAGATTTTGAGTTCTTGTCACTGGATTGTAACTGTGAGGATGAGACATTGACTCCTTCTTCATTCTTCTGAAGTGATTCTTTGTGTTGTTCTGCGCCCTCCTGGTTGCACTTGGCAAAGAACCACTAGACTTAGAATGAAGAAATCACAGGCCCCTTTCCCTTTTCCTCAACAAAAGAAGTCAACGCCCGACCAGCGCTCAAAAACAACCAGGCAGGCAGGCAGACATACTTTGCTTAAGCGTGTCAACAAGCAGACTCAGCCAGGTCTCAGCCACATTACACCAGCGGCCTCCCACGCGCAAACCACGCTCCAAGGGCGGAAGAAGTAGTGTGAGAACAGGGCCAGGGTCCAGGGTTCAGTTCTGCAGATTTTGTTGGCAAGCTTTCCAAGGTTTCAGTTAATAAAGTGGTAGGCTGTTGAGAGTTCCACCTTCCATTCACTTCACGCTTCGGACTTTGGACTGGAGTCTCTTAGAAGAGCAGTTTATATAACCTTTCTGTGCGCAGATAGGCCAGGTCATAACAAAAGGTGAGGATGGAAGTGAAGTGCGCGTATTCTTGTTTGCGGCCCGCGGCTCTTTACGGTGTTTTTTGTGTTTTGTTTTCAGATTGCAGTTTATTCTTATTGTTCTTTAGCTAATGGCTGGGCTTAGGTGGGGCAGATGTCAGATGTCGTTGGTTGTTGGTGAGTCGGAGGTTGACCACTGTTACCGTGTTACCCTGTTGGACTGTTGGAACGGAACCGGCGCATGCGCGTTGGCTGTGAACTTGCACCGCGAGTTTGTTCTTAGCGCGCCGTTGAGCGTGCTTAGGTGGAGGTGGAGGCTCTTTTCTCTTAAGCTCTTAGCTGCTGTGTTTTAAGTTAGGAGGGCCAGCGCCGCAGTGCCAGGGAGTTTATTTTAATACGTCAATAATTGTGTTTTGATATCGAATCGAATCATGTCTTGTTAAAGTGCTGCGATGTTGATGTCGTGACTTGAAAGTTTTGCAACTAGCGCCTGGTGTTTTCAGTGAATTCAGACTTTTGATTCTCTGCACTTCTGCGCGCAGGATATTATTCTCCTGGAGACACGGAGTGGCCTTGCGTGGGAAGACCGTGCATCAGACCTAGGACTTGAGAGGGATGCGATGGACAGGATCAGAAAAGCCATTGTTTGGCATGTTCCGATGGTTTGCATGCTTGCGCACAGCAGAACTAATCTTGCGGCCAAAGCACGTGTCTTTCTGCAAACCTTAGGGCTGCTGGTGTCCTTTCGAGAAGCCCTTATCGAATTGTGCCAGTCCGTGGTGAGCATTCACACCGATTACGGAACGGAAAGAGGGTTGGCCCGGATAGCAGATTACCCGTTGGACACGCTTCTTCCATATTTGCACTGCCCTGAGGAGGCAGCGAATATCGGTGCTGCAACTTTGGACAAAGGTGATTTGTTCGAAGATGGTTCTTTTGATTCCAATGCGGGTCGCGATGTGGAAGTTTTTGCTGTAGATGCACAGCCCGTGTCCACCAACGTTTCTTTTGAAAGTTCCCTTGAAGGGCCTGACATGATGCACATCATCCACAATGCCACCAACAACTTGGGCGATGTAGTGTCTTCGTACAATTTTGTGCTTGATGCTTTGAAGCCAGTATGCTCCCTTTTGTCAGGGAAGGAGAGCAAGCAGCAGCTCATTGAGATGTGTTTCAATACCCCTGAGACTTTCCCATATCAAGACCAGATAGGTGCCTTCAATGTCAGTGTCCATGAAGAACGCTGGAACACCATTGCCTGTGGCATTGAAGAGGTGGATGCTTTAGAGCCTGCGCTGAGAAACCATTGGAGCCTGTCCCGCTTTCTGGGAAAAGGAGAGGCAGAATGCTGTGATCAGAGTGTGCCAGTTCCAAGGCCTTCAGACAATGCTAGCCCAGATGCGACTGGCGTTAACCTCAAGGCCGTGGACGACGCTCTATGCTCTGATTTATGGTGGGGTTCGTTGAAAACATTGATTCCAATTGCAAAGATCCAACGCAAGGCTGTTGATTTTGTGAATGGTTGCCCATGCCATGCAACTTGTCATTTGGATACAAAAGAAATGGAAGACTTCTGTCGCAGTTGTCCTTTGAGAGGGCGTAGGTGCGCCGAGCTGGCTTCAGGAGATTTTTTCACAATGTTGCAAGAACTGTTCGACACAAGCGCTACCCTGCTGGAGCTCCAATTGCCAAGAGGCTTGTCCCAAGATGAAGTTAGCCAACTCATGAAGGACTTTCAATTGGCAAGGCAGCACCTCATCATGACCTACGTGATGAAACTGAGCTTCTGGCAGGAAGCCCCACATGTTTTATGTGGTTTGAGCCATTGGGATCCCAATGTGCGAGTGCGCTGCCTTACCAAAGCACTTGCTTCCAATTGCAGCCACCCCAAAGTTTTGTGGTTGAAGCGGCCTGAAGCACGGCGATGTGTTGCAGAGTTCATTGCCGGTGGTGGGTTGTGGCGGGATGACAGCCAGCTGGATCCCTTGAGAGAGTTGGCTCTTGAGTTGAGGCTGATGTTCACGTCAGCATGGCGGGTGGAGGGGCAGCATGCTAGAACAAAGAAGGTTTCGACTCATGCTCACCATCATTCTGCACCATATATCAGCCTTGCTCATCGTCTGCCCGAGATCAAAGAACTTTTGCTGACGCGGCCAGAGGTTGCAGGCCAGCTTGCAGATTTTATGGGCGATGTGTCAAACGGATGCTCTGCTGCAAGACAACTTGGCTTTTCTGAGAAGTTGCTTTGGGAATGTGGCTGGATCTCAACAAAGACCTTCGAAAAGAGGAAGGCAGGTTTCAGTGTCATTTACCATGATGATCCATATTGCAAATACAGCTTGGAGTTGCCTCGAGGTTTGAAACAGAAGCGTGTTTCTGTGCAAGATTCCGACCTGGCCAGCCCTGACTTGTCTGATGGAAGCGTTGAGCTCAAGCGAGCGCTAGCTTTGCAGGATGTGCAGAAAGAAGTGTCCAATTTTGACCGGGGTACTTTCTTCACCATGAAGATGAATGTTCGGGCGTTGGCAACTCTGCAGTCCATGCTGTCCCACAAGCGTCAAGCTTTGGAGTTGGAGCCCCAATCCGCTGTGGAGTGGGAGATGCAAGCAGGTCAGACGCCACGGGCCGTTGCAGGCCTTTCGGACAAGCTTGGGCTCACAGTTCCTTTGGCTGATTTGTTGGAAGGTGTGGGAGATGGGCTGGCCCACGAATTTGTGGTGGCATCGGTGTTGCATGCGCATCCGAACCGCTTTCACCGCACTCAAGTGGAAGGGGAGTCTTGTTTGTCAGGAGCTTGGGTGGTTCAGCTTCACAGCATTGTCCATGTGGATGTGGGTGGCAAGCAGGTTCTTGCTTCTTTGAGCCCTGTAACTTTGGGGGATGGGTTCTGCCAGCATGCGCCTTTTGTTTTGCAGCCACGCCAACTTACATTGACTGAACTACGCAGCTTGCGTACGTGGGATGCAGGCGATGTGGTGCGCCGGTTTGACAACCAGTTCATGGCTCAAGTTCCCAGGGTTGATCAGGCTTCTGTGCACACCGTTGTTGAGCTTCTGCTGCGCTCTCCAACGGGCTTGGTCGTGAGGCCAGACCTGAGTCAAGACCACATCAATGCTTTGGACCTTTTGCACGCAAGCGGGTTCTTGTCAGGGGCCACCATGGATATTGACAGATTCTGGACATGCCCGTTTGCTGCAGTGCTGTGTGTTGACTAATGAGAAGCCTTTCTTGCAGCGGTGGAGGCCAGGTGAGCCACTACATGAAGAGGCCACTGCTTATCAGCTTGTGGTTGCTCTTGAGAAATCTGGCTGGTACCATGCTGTGATCACCAACAAGAAGCACAAACTGCTCAAGAAAGAGAAACATGCTCACGAGAGAGGCGGTAGTGAAAAGATGTGGTTCACTGTTGAAGGGACGGTGTCTGTAAGCCGCTACTACCTGCTGGCTTTGGCCTATTTGGTGGGTGTGATTGCTGGAAAGGACATCACTGAGGTGCCATATGGTGTTCCGGACGCCGCTTACAAGGCTCTGCTAGGCATGGAGTCTGACAAGAAAACATTTGAAGGCAGGGGCATGAAAAGAGCGTTTTTGCATGTCTCAGATGACAATTGGCCAGAACCAAAAAAGCGAGCAGCCACAAGAAAGAAGAAAGCAACTGCTGCTTCAAGTTCCAAAGACAAAGAACTTTGCTTGGAGGAGAAGGCCGCTGATAGTTGTGAGGGTGAAGGTGAAGGTGATGACCTTGCTGTGGAGTTGAGCTCTCCATCTGGCTTGAGCAGTTCAGGTGAAGAAGAGATTACCGATTGTATGGACGACGCACGGGAGGCAGTTTCCCCAAAAAGCAACCCCGCTGTTGAGTCAGAGGTGGCTGCTGCTCCCAGCCGACCTGAGCCAAAGTCAGCGTCTGCGTCCAGCTCGTCATCTTCATCTTCGAGCTCTTCATCCTCAAGCGAATCCTCTAGCGAAAAAACCTTCTGCTTCTTCAAAGCCTGCGGCTCCTTCAGCCGCTATACCGGACAAAGGGGCCGACGCGCCAGCACCAAAAGCTGCTTCAAAAGCTGCTCTGAAACCCAAGACACGAGATAGGTCCTTTGCTTGGGGAGGTCATTTGATCACTCCAGTTGGGCCACTTGGAGAAGCGCCTCGGCATTTTCAGATTAAATGCGGCTTTGCTTCCCACAACGTTGACCATCATTGCACCAAGAAGAGATCAGTGAATTTCGGAGGTGAGCAACAAGTTCTTCTGTGCTTGAAGTATTGGGCTTCGCTTGGGTCACAGTGCAGCACTCCAGACGAACACCTCGAGCTTTGGACGTCAACGGTCGAACCAGCTTTCAAGGCCAAAGCTCTACCACGGGAAGAAGATCTTTCTTCATCATGCGGAGATTGAGGAGCTTCATGCGCTGAAGTGTTTTCACTTTTGAGAGATTCACTCAAGGGTTGGATTAGGGAGAAGTGTGAATGCTGCTTCGCGGGTTGAAAAACTACAGAAGAGAGAGAAGATTGCTTTCCAGCTTTCATTGCAGTTTTTTTGTCTTTTTGTTTGCGCCCAGCAAGACTTGCCAATGCAAGAATGATATGCTGCATAATTGTGCTTGTCACTTGATCATTTGTCAAATATCTGTCACGGATGTGGATTTTGCTTGCAGTGTTGTGCCTGTAGCCAGAAACATGTATGCCCAAAGGTTGGAAACCAGGACTTTGAACTTAGGGGAATTTAGGCAATTCTGCGGTGATCTGCGCGGCTGCGCAGGTCCTGACGGCTCTTTTTCGCGGAGTTCTCTTGTAAGGTGATTTTCTTGAGTTTTTGCAAATTTTGGCCTGTGGGCCCTGTGGGGGTGAGCCCGTAGAGCAAAACCCTTTGTCGGAGAGGGTTTTTAAGAAATTTGAAGGTTTTTGGCTTGTGGTTTTCGTTCGTTTTCGTTCACTTTCGTGCGCTTTCGTGCATTTCGTGCGATCACCTTCTGCCTCGAACACCTGAGATGTTTTTCTCAGCTTTTCACTGTCCAAATTGCTGGTTTTAAGGACTTTTTGAGATGATTTTGAAAGATTTTGGGAGAGATCGGTGTGTTTTTGAAGGTTTTGGGAGGCTGAGCGAAGATGTTGTTGGAAGAGCAAAACTGACTTTTCGTTCACTTTCGTTCACTTTCGTTCGTTTCCGTGCAGTGTGTTTTTCAAGGCTTGGAAGCCTGGGCGCGTCTGTGTTTCCTCAGTTTTCTCTCTGCGGAGCACAATTTTCTTGATTTGGTGATGTTGCTGCCAAATTTCCTTGAATTGGACGCTGCAAGCTGATTTTGTAATCTTAGTGTCTTCTGTTGCGTTCTTGTAGGTTTGGCAGCTCTGGAAGCCAACTTTGCATTCAATGCCAGTGAGAGTATGTAATTCACTGTCATGTGTAGCAAGATCTGATGTTTGCTGTTGCTATTTCTTTTTCAAGGCCCTCTCTTAGGCCACTGGTTCACTGGATATGTTTCCGAATGTCGATTAAACCAGTGAGACCGTGAGACCTGTCCGATAGCTGTTTCTTGGCTGCAGTTTAGCTTGTGTCATTGTGATTGATTAACAATTCATCTTGATAAACTCAGCAGAGAGGTTTGTAATTGGACATGCAGCATCAGCTACTTGGGGGTTCTTTTGCGTTTCAGATTCATAAACCATACAATGGCCACACTAAGGTACAAACTGGCTCACAACAATTGCATCCAGTCAGATGAAGCAGCTGGGTCAGTGGGGGAACCAACGCATTTCAATTTGTCCAGTTCTCTACTTCCTTGTGTTAAACACCTCATGGTCACACCTTGTGATGTGTGATTGCAAGGCATTGGGGAGAACATTTCAGTTGCCGGGACATGGGATGATCATACTCGCTTACTGCAGTGGCTATTGTTTCAGGTCTTCAGAGACGAGTATGGCTGGAACGTAGACCACAAGATCACGAAGACGTGTGGCATAGATCCTGCTTGTCAAGCTGTCTTGGTGGAGGCTTCAAAGCGGCTCGATGCAGGGCAATCATGTGTTTTTGTGGACATTGTTGATCAGATTCACCCTGCTGCTCGGAGCTTTTGTGAAGGCCTTTTGCCAAACCCTGACACTGCTACAAACACGGACTATGAGCAGAGCCATGAGCAAATTCTTGCCTATCTGTTGAACAATTCCCATTGGGCGGTCAGTCAGGACAGGGTGCTGGGTGTACACGTGGAAAGCTCATGTCCAAGTCGGACGGTGCGTTTGTGATTTTGTTCGAGAGCCAAATCACGGTAGAAGTTACTGCTAAATTTAGCAGCAATTTAATTTGGATGTTTGCCTCTTTGCTTCCCGCTCAGCAAAGACCCCGCTGTAGTCGCTGTGCTCAACAACACCTCTGCCAAGAAGTGACTCGAAGATCTCCTCAAACTCACTAACTTCTTCTAACAGAGTCCTCACCAACTCTGATGGGTAGTCAAAAAGCTCTTCTACAGAATCGGCCCCTCTGGACAAAGCTTGCTTCGAAATCAAATCAGATATGGAGCCACGCTTGAACTTTCTCTTTGTGCAACTCTTCCAGGACCAAACTGCGTGGTGTGAAGCCCATCAGCAGTATTGCGTTGTGAACAAGCCTCGTGAAAAGCTGGGTGCCTTAGTCATCAACAATGCTGGCAATTGCTGCCAGGGTTGGAGCTCAGAAGGAAAGCGGGCCCGCAAAGCCCACAAGAGCCAATACCCGCTTGCCGTGTGGCTTTGTCAACGCAAGCAGCTTGCCTTGGATGGCCAAGAGGATTTGTTTTTTCAAGAGTGCACAAGACACTTTGATGTTGAGTCATGCCTGGCCGGCCCTTTGAGCAGCAGCCACCAAGTCATTTCTTTGGTGGTTGGTCCTTCTGAGCTGGGATGGCCAACTTCGCGGGATCGAGTTTTGTCTGCAGGCATTTCTTTGAGGACTTTGGTTTGGGTCGGGCCCACTGACCCTCAGAAGGTTGAGAGAGAGTTCAACTATTTCTTTCAAAGAAGTTGCCTCCTGTCAGGGGATGTTTTCTTCCAAGAGGACGAGGCTGTGGTGCAGGAGTGGGTTGACCAGAAGCTTTTGGAAAAATCACACTTTGGGGCCAAGTTGAGCGGAGAGCGGATGTGGCGCAAGATCTTCACTCCAGGGCAATTGCAACGCCTTGCAGCTTACAGACAGTTGGCTCCTGACCATGCTGGACTTGATGGAACTTTCATATGCGACCTGGATCATTGGCCGCATTCTCCAGGGCCAGACTACGGGTCCTTCTTTCCGGTGCTGCTCAGGCATGGTACAATAGTCAACTTGAACACTAAGAAGATCGCAATGCCCAGAGATAGGTTCTTGGCCCTCGGATTCCATGTGTCCGACAAAGTGTCCAAAAAGTTCAGGTGGCCATTGGCCGACTATGTACTCAGCCGCAGTGACCGGTGTGTGAAGTCATTGACCGGAAACTGCCAGTCGCTCCCTTGCCTTTTGGCTTGGTACCTCAATTTGGAAAGAAGAGAAGTGTGTAAGGTAGAGCGCCCAATCAAAGTAGAACTGCAACAGAAAGAGGAGAAGAAGATCAATGCTCTTCAGTGGCTCGCTGATGAATGAGCGAAGCTAGGCTCTTCTTAATTTCCTAGCTGATGGAACTTGGCGCAGTGTGGGCAACAAGGGTGTGTGCGTTCCAGGCTCCATTCTGTTAGGGATGTGCTGTGACCACGTGAAAGTCGATTGTAATAGATGCACTTCTTTCTTTCATTTTGGAAGCGTAGCCTTGAGACATGGCGCCTGATACTCGGTATTTGTTTTGCAATCTATTGAACGCGCTTGCTTTGCGCTTGGACTGTTGAACATCAAGGGAAAAACCTCGGCCCGCTCTGTGTTTAGTTTCTTACTCTTGGAGCTTTGCAATGGCTTGCGCTGGCTCCGGATCTAGTGAAGACCAGCCTCTGCCTGTGCCTGGTGAGGGTCAGGGTGAGCTTGTGAAGGACAAGGGTTCAAGTTTTTTCAACTGCCAAAAACTAGGTGGAGGCTTCTGGAAGCTATCGGAAACACTCCTTTGAGAAGTGGCCCGGGCATTGCGCGACGGAGCTTTAACCTGGCTATATAAGCTAGCTAGCCAGGTAAAAACTTCGCGTATTTGATCTTACAAAAGGCTAGCGGCTAGTCTAGTTGGGCCACTTGTCACTTGTTGGTTTCTGGTGCTTCTCTCCGCTGATGTGCGAAATCAGAAGACATGCGCTCGAACACAAACCACCGGTTAACTATGCTTCAGTTGAACCAGTAACCGGTCGTGCGGTTGTGTTGTTGCTTTTCACTCTTTTGCATCTTGCCCCCAACAAGCATAGCATAGTTGGCATGCAGGAAGCTTCCGGCTTGTTTCCAGACAGACAGCAAACCGATGGCTTGTTTCAATTTTTTTGTGGATGGTCTCCATCCCAGCTTAGGAGAACACAAAGGGGTCCACACTTAAGGGCCAGCGCTCAGTTAATTTAAGTGAACCCTTGTGCATTTTCGAGTGGTCTTTTGCAGGAGTTGGTGGATTCCAAGAGCAAAGGCAAGAAACGGGCTCGTGAAGACAATAGTGATGTGGCTGAGACTGAGACCATTGCTCGGTACGGGAAACTCCTGGTGAAGTATTATCCTTTGTTGGAGAGTCTCCCGAAAGCTGCTCTACCAGATGCACCGCCAACGGGGGCTCACCAATACAAGGTGAAGGTTGAGACATCTGCAGTCATCATCAACTTGCGAGGCTTCATGTCGGCAGTGAAAGGCTTCGCATCTTGTCGTTTCAAGTTCACAGGCAAGGCTGATATCAGTTTGACTTGGGCCCGTGCCAGGGAGCATGCGATGGCATGGCACACCAATCCACCCAAGCATTGTGCTGTGCCTCCTCCGCCACCGCCCATTTACTTGGATGAGACCCATGATGCGCAGAAGGAGGGCGTGGCCAACGCTGCGAATGGTGCTGGTGAGGATGAAGATGGTAATTCGGACGACTCAAACACGAGCTCCAGCCACTGGGGCTCATGATTCCTGGCTCCTTTTCCTGTTTTGGGGTTGTCGAAGCTAGAAGGTTGAAGGGCCGGCTTTGAAGTGAAGCTGGCGTGACTCGTTTTCTTTCTGCGCAGTAGCTTTGATAGCTCAAGCCTTCAATGCAAGCTTGATGTTTTCAAAGTTTGCTGCGAGTAACTGTTGCTTGTGATGCCGACTAGCTTCGTGTTTATGAGAAGTACAGGGGGACAAGAAGCACTGATGCTTTGCCAGTTTGCCAGATCTTCTGGCTGAAAAGTGTTGGCCACGTCATGCATGTACCAGTGTTTGTTTGCCTGAATTGTGAGTGTGGGTGTGTGTTTGGATGCTTTGAAAGGATGGCGGAATGTTCAGGTGTGTTCTGTTTTTTCTCTCTTGCATAGTAGACGTTGCCCAATTTGAGTTTCAGTTGTTTGCGCTCCGGCTGATTCCTATCCAAGAGCGACCAAGCAGCTCACAGGAGCTGTGAGCGTGGGTGGGCTTAGAGGGCTGCAGGGCTTCGAAAGTGCCATGGCCAGCGCTGCTGCTGCCGAGGACCAGAAAGAAGAAGCAGCAGCAGAAGAGAAGGCAGAGCCTGCTGCCATGGAGCTTGAAGATGAGAATTTCCAAGCTCAACCCAAGCCAAAAGGCAAAGCTAAACCAAAGAAGAAGGCTGCTGCAAAGGCGAATGCCAAGACTCGTCATGGGCCTACCACAAGCTGCATATGCCCGATGTGCCCTTTTCCGAAATATCCGGGCAGCCGGTTCTGTTCAGTGGGGGACCACAAGAAGGCTTATGACAATATGATGTACCAGAGAAGAAGCAGGAAAGATATTTCGGAAGAGGCAAAGAAGGCTTATGACGAGAGCATGCGCGATGACGGTCAGGCTGGTCGCGCTGTTTTGGCCTTTGCCAGGGACAACCCTCCTGAGATGCGCAAGAAGGGACTTGTGGACTTCGCCAGGTTTGAGCGTGTTCGTGGGCAAAGGATCGCTAGCAGAACTTCTGCTGGAGACGTGCCTATGACAGAGAAAGCCTTTTACAAGCACGTTGAAAATGTCCTTGGTTTGGATGAGAAGGAGGCGTCAGAGCTTTGGGAAGAATACCAGCAGGATCGCTCTGTTGAGCGAGACAACAACGGCTTTCGAGGGGCAGAGCGTTTGTGGATCCCAGCGCATGAGCTCAAGTCCAAAGACAGGGAGCACTACAGTGACAGTCGGGCAGTGGAGGGCTCCGACAACATCAGGGCTCCTCCAATGGAAGATCGCAGGATGTTGCAGGAGAACTTTGGGGGGAGGGGGGTTGATTGATTCCGATTCCAATCACTCCAACAGAAAAGTGGGGCATTTACATTTTGCATATGTCCATTAATTTTGCAATCTTGCATTGGCATTATCCAAAGCATTTGTACTCCGTTTTGAATGTTCTAGCCGATTCTAGCCAGTGATGTATTTGACTGTGACGGTCTTTGATGGTTCAGCTTTTAAGTTTCAACTGTAATCTTCCTTTGTTTTTTCAAGGCGACTTGGCTTTCCATGTTGGTTTCTTTGCGGCCACGTCTTGAATATCCCTGACCAGGACCATCTGAGACGCCAAGATGTGAGTTTCCAAGATGAGCACTTCCAGATGACCGAGCATGAGCGGTGGGATGTTAAGGGGAGGATGCAGCCAGTGTCTCTTGCTACTCCGTCAAAGTCTCCACAGGAGTCCCCGCTGGGAAGCCCACGTGATTCCGAGGAGGCGCGGCAGAAGCCGATCAATTTGAGTCGCGAAGGACCTGTGCTCCACCGACAAGTTGACAGTCAGGTCCAGCGGTTGAAGGCTGATCTCAAGAAAGCTTTGACAGTGGCAGCAGTTTCCAGGGATGCCTACCGTGAACATCCAAACCACCTAAAGTCGGGTGACCGGGCCTTGTTTTTGCAGAGCTCTCCAGTTTCGGCAAGAAGCAGGACGGCGCTTGTTGGGTGACATGTCCGAGCTCTTCTTGCTTGTGCCTGATGCATCGTGTGACGGTGCCTTGTCGAAGGAGCAGGATGGTCATGAGGACAAGACTGACGCAGGAGTTTCCACAGCTCCCGTGTTGACGGGAATCCCTGTTCCTAACACCGATATTGAAGCGAGGAAGGCAGTTTCTTTTGAGCAGTTCTTGGAAGAGCCCAGAACCAAGACGCACAAGTTCTGGGAAGGCGATTTGGGGGTCATTTTCTGCTTGGACGATAGTGTGCAGTTGAAAGAAGAGATCTTGGATTGCAAAGAGCCGGCTCCTTTCCTCCGGCTGAAAGACAAATGGCAGAAGTGTGAGAAGGCTTGCGCTCAGGTTGTGAAGGGCATCAAGCAATCGGCAGATGATTTGGCAAAGCGCCTTAAGGTGAAGGTGTCAGAGGAGAAGCGGGAGCAGAAAAGGAAACAAGAGCAAGAGGCAAAGGACCAGTTGCAGAAAGTGCGCGCAGAGGCAAAGGCTGCAGCGGATGCAATCAAGAAAAGAAGACTCAGCCAGGATTCCCAATGTCCGCCGCTTTTCACAACCTCTTTGGATGCAACCAAAGCAAAAGAGGTGCAGGAAATCAAGGATCCTGCAGCAGTCATGGCTGAGTGGGGCGCTGACTTTCCTTGGTTCAAGACAGGGGGCGAGGAGGTTGAGTTGAACATGGGCAGCAACCCGATGTCCAAGACCCTTGCGAATTGGGGTGGGCAATACAAGCGCAGCTTGGCCAACCTCAAGCTTGACGTTGTGACGTTCCCGCTGGAGGAGAAGACCGGTTCCACACAAGTGAACACCTTGTTCGAGAGCGTGCTTCCCTCCACCTTCAGGCCGGATATCTCATCTGTTGCAGGTGGACAAAGCTTCATGGACGCAGCTTGGCTTTTTGGATGCAGCGCAGACTTGAAAAGCGTGGGCTTCAACCCCAACGGAGCAGGCTTGCAGAAGGTGCTTGCTGTGGGAGAGGTTCAGCATATCTTGCTGGAGTGGGCGGGTGTGAAGAAATTCTTGGAGAAGATTGAAAAGGACAAGTCAGGTGAGCGCAAGTCTTCACGGGAAGATCTGTTGGGCCAGCTCAAGTGCCTCACAGAAGAACAAGTGAAACAACTTTGTGAGGACACTGTGGTGCGGCAGCACACCTTGAAGGCCAAAGAGATCCTGTTCATCCCGATGGGCTGGGTCGCTGTGGAGATCGCTGGCAACCACCCCTTTTTGTACGGCTTCCGCAAGAGCGTCTTCACGACAGGCGCTACTGGGGTCGCTGCTTATGAGGACGCCTTGGAAGCAGCCAAGGCAAGTGGAAAGGCAGTGGATCGCATGAGCAAGATCTTGGAAACGCTCAAGGTCAAGAAGTGAGTTCAAGTCATTGCCCTTCACGGGCGCACTGCCCAGCAGTGCCGGCTTTCATGCTAACTATGAGTATGGCTGTGCGACTCTTCACAGCTCTCCAGGCTCGAAAAAGCTTGATGCCTGCTGCGGCTACAGACCGGTTCTCTCAGTTTTTTAAAGGTCAATTTTGAACTTTGAGCTGCAGGCAGAAGCTTCAGCAATGGTTCGACCTTGCATTTGCAATCGCGTGGTTTCCTGTTTGGCTCAAGTTTGAATTTTCGTAATTTGATTGCTTGCCTCTAGCTTCACTAGCTTCTTTCAGGCTAGTTCCAAGTTCCCATGTCGGATGCCACAAGCATGCATACTTTGCCTACTGAGCTGGCTTTGGAGTGCATGGATGATGATTTGCGAGAGTCAATTACTCATGACCCCCAGAGGCGATTTTTGAAGCAGACAGCCATGATTGATATGTTCAAGAAGGAGTTTGATCAGTTGGACCTCTCCGCTCTTTTTTGCCTTTTGCAGCCCAAGGCTGGTTCCAACAAAAGATGCTTTGAAAAGAAAGCCTATGAGGTGCGGGACACGTTGCGAAGGGCGACCTTGCACTTGCATGACATCGTCGAGGAACTTGAGAAACGCGCTGCGGTTTGGGATGCCAGATTCATCACCTTTTGTGGCTGCAAGTTTTGTCTTCACGAGAAGACTGAGACTGAGATGGAGATGGATGAGTCAGGCTAGCAGCGCCATTGTATAGTGCATTTTTTGGGCAGAGGAGTGCAAGACTGCTCAGCCACTTTTCGGAATTTGATTGTGACCATGTGGGCGTTCCCACATAGTGTTTCACGGATTAGGTTCCAATGGAAAACGATCAAGGGAGGGAGGTCAGTTTTTGCATGTAGATGTGCTGCATGGTGTGCAAGCTGTGTTTTCCATTTTTTGGTGGAATGTGGCATTCGAAAACACGCCAGAAACCCAATATACCTCACAGCGGTTCAATCAGTGTTTTGGATTTGGTGATTTAGTAGTTTGGGTTGACCCAAGCTATGAGTGGTGCAGAGCGCCCCCGTTCACGAAGCCCTTCTCGCTCTGTGCCTCCGCTGGCTAGCGCGCCGCGTCCGCCGGCTACCCCACCACCTCAGAGGCACAGTCGCCCTGACGCTGGCCTGGGCTTGCAGCTTGTGTCTCTCATGGCTTCCTTGGAGAAAGCCATGGAGCGGGTTGAGATGGCTGGTTGCTGTGTTGCTGCTGCCCGGAGGGAACTCGATTCAAGTTTTTCTGACGTGCCTCTCACCCATTTGGGTTTGTCGCCAGAGATGACTGCTACTGTGTACAGCGTTGGCAAGGCAAAGTCTGATTTAGATGAAATCCATTGGCTAGTGATGGATGAGAGGGATCGTGTTCGCCGTCGACTTGCAGTGTTGATGAACCAAACTGTGTGGGAACCAAGTTCTGATGCGGCTCCAGTGCCAGCCCCAGCAACAAGGTGATGAAGCCTTCTAAGCTGAAACTAGACTTTTCACACTTTGACGCTCACATGTCAAAGTTTCGCCGAGTCCGAGCTCTGTGAAAAAGTCTTTGGAATGAGTTTTTGTTCGCTGTGCAATTTTGATGAAAGGAGTAGGGAGTGCCAGACACCGAGAAGAGAAAGAGACGGGAGACCGGGAGATTACAAGCTTTTACAGTAATGTATGTGCACACACGCGCGCGTTTTAATTCTTACCCCTCATATCCCGTAAGGATAGGCGCATGTTCAATAATCAATAAAGCGGGCGCCTATCCATTTTTCATTTTTTGTTTCAGTTTTTGCTTCAAAATGGGGTGAGTTTTCCTTTTAAAAAGGGTTCAAACATGTTTGGCTCAAGTTTGCGCGCGGCAGGATCTCTGTGATGCTATTTGCTTGCACTGACAGCAGAAAACTGTCATCATGCGGGTGTCAGGATGTATTTAGCACTCAGCTTGATTGTTTCTGGCTCTTTGATAGGGTTCTACAAGAAAGCAACCAACACCGTGTTCCGAAAGAAATAGTGAAATTAGCTAACGACCCTGGAATCGGACTGCGAATTGTTCGAAGCAGATCGAACCGCGGGGCTGGTAGATTCACAAGGGTATTTGGTCGAGAAGAAGGACATCAAGCCAGCGGAGGAGAAGGCGCCCGGGAAGTCTGGACCGGTTTCGGGGGAGCACCCTGGACACGAAGACCCATCAGCACAACCTTCAAGATCCGAGAAAGCAGAGAGTGAGGTGACGCAGAAAGAGAAGCCAGCTTCAGCCCGTTCTTCCTCGAGGCATCGGAGAAGGCGGCGCAGCCGGAGCAGGAGACGAGAGAAGAAGAAGGCACGGGGCAGTCCAAGCCCTGTTGAGGTGGCCGAGAAGGAGGAGCTCATTGCGACTGAGCCAGAGGCCGAAGAGGAGCTAGAAGCCCTTGAGGAGGAAGAAGAAGATCCGGCGAAGTACGAGTTGCGACAGATTGCAAAGCCTTCGAGCAGCAAACCATTGCCAAGGAGACCGAGGACGCCGTCCGTCTCTCCGCCGGGATACCATTCCCGTGACCCAGCACCGATCAAAAGGTGGAAAGGGTGGCAACACGTATATAGAGGCCAAGAAAGGCAGGCGAGAGGCAAAGGCAAAGGAGGAAAAGGTCGACCCTCAAAGGGGAAGCAATGGCACCGAAAGTGAACCGACGTCCGGCCGGGGCTCCTCGGCCCCCGCGTGTGCTTCGTCGACCCGCCGCACCTGCAGCAGAGGAGGTGGATCGGGGCGAGGAAGCCCTGAGAGAAGAAGATCTTGCAATCGGCACCCTGGTCCACGGGGAGGATGCGGCTTACCACAACACCCCATGCCAGTTCAGCGGAAGGGTGATAGAGACCACGAAGGACGCATCAGGCCGATATCTGGTCATGAAACTGATGGGCACCATCCTCGAGACCTTGCTTACATGGGGTACGGGAACCAGTCATCCCGCTCGTGTACATCTATGCCCAGCAGAGTGCAGCCAAGAGGCCGTGGGGCCAGGGTTGATACATTGCAGAAGGTATCGCACCATCGCGTCCCTGGACGAATTAGCGGGGCATCCATGGCGAGATGTGCTGGTCAGCGCAGTCCCTCGGGATGGCGACGAACTTGCAGGACTACGAGGGCGCATGGAGGATCTTCCCATCCCACCAGGAGGGGAAGGAGCGCCTGCCGTGAAGAAAGGCGAAAAGGACGAGGCAAAGGTGAAGGACAAGAAGAAGCGAAAGAAAAAGAGATCCAGAAGAGGCCGGAAAAGGTCAAGCTCCACAGAAAGCAAGAGAAAGAGGAGGAGCCGATCAAGCCGACCCCGCAGAAGAGGAGGCGAGAAGGACAAGAAGACGGCAGGGGTGATCGGTGCCTGGTCTGTCCCTGTAGTCACACGGTTGATTAGCCAGCTTGTGGGGCCGCGGGGCCTAGGACCACCGTTGACGCCCACGGAGATTCTGAGGCGATTGGACTTGGAAGGTAATCCCTACATACAATCCAGGTTGATGCGACCGCCCCTGAGCGTTGATCAGAGTTTGACGGGGAGCTCCACAAGTGCCCTGGTCCAACAGTTGGGACGGTTAGTGTCGACAAAAGGCGCCGACCTCATGCTCAACAGCACTCCGGATGAGATTCAAGGCCATCAACGTCGACGCCACACGGTTAACCCCAAGATGTGGAGATGGAAGGTCATTTCAGGGTGGAAATGGTCGGGCCGGGGAGAGCGCATCAATTCCCTGGAATTAAGAGCCTGCCTGGCGTGCCTTCGATGGAGACTTGAACACGTACAGGAGCACGATTGTCGTATATCATCCATCATCTCACTGACTCGCTGGTGTGCCTTCACAGCATGACAAGAGGACGAACTTCAAGCCGCCGTTTGCGAAGAACCCTCTGCCGAATAAACTCGCTCTTGCTAGCTCACAACGTCGTTGGTCTTTGGGGATACGTGAGCACTGACCTTAACCCGGCGGATCGTCCGTCGCGGTGGGCGGTGCGAACAAAGTTTCGCCATGCCAAAGGTCGTTTTTGAAGGGTCTACCCAAGCTAGGAGAGCGAAAGATCGGCAGAAATTAGGCAGTTTGAAGCAGCTGACGGTTCAACCATCGACGCGTGCCAGGTACGACAAAGCCCTGAATAAGTTCCTTGGTTTTCTCAAGGCCGAAGGCTTAGAGTTACCAAACCGGCGTGAGCTGTTGGATACCCTTGTGATGGAGTATGTGGAGCATTTGTGGATTTCGGGGGAGGGGCGAGGACTGGCCGCCGACACCCTGGCATCTTTGCAGGACTACGACGCAAAACTTCGGGGACACCTCCCTGGTGCATGGCGTTTGGTCAAAACGTGGGTCACCCATGAACTGCCAAACCGGGCGCCGCCCGTGCCTGAAGTGGTCCTGCAAAGTATGGTATACCATGGGCATTTCGCGTTTGCTACCAGCCTCCTTGTGTGTTTCTACGGAATTTTAAGAACTGGCGAGCTTTTGGATGTGTTGCGAAGTCGGATTGAAATTTCAGCAATGCTCCGCACAGCGGTAATTTGTTTGAAACTAACAAAGGCAGGTAAGAGAGCAGGTGTGCAGGAAAGTGTTTCCCTGAGTCATGACACCGCTTTTCGATATGTACAGCATTGGACTGAACTTGCGTCTACTTACCAAAGGTTATGTCCATCGCCACCGCGTTGGCGAAAACTCTTTAAATGCTGCATCGAAAGCCTCAAACTAGAGTCCTTGGAGCTAAGACCATACTCGCTCAGGCGAGGAGGGGCCACATGGTGGTTCGGACAACACGGGAATTTAGACCGTGTAATGATTCTTGGACGCTGGCAGGCACAGAAAACTGCCAGAATGTACCTAAACGAATCTAGAGCCATTCTTGCCGAGATGAAATTGGGTCCTTTAGAGAAGACCATTGCACCCTATCGAGCGTTTTTTCTGAATTCAAACCCCCAGAACTTTTGAAACACTTGAGCCGTTGCAAAGCAACAGGCCGTCCTCGAAACGAGGCCTGGGGGGACTTGGAAGAAGAGTTCA